AACAAAGTGCCCCCCCCTCCACCCCCCCCCCCCTATCCTCTCATAGAACCGACCGCCAATAGCAGCCTTCCCCTGTCGCAAAAGAGACGACCCGCGTTCACAAATGACCAAGACCAGACACTGCGAGAAGATAAAACAAGTCAGGTGAACAGCTGCAGTAGCGAACGAAGTACAACAGAAAACACTCGCCAAGAGGGAACATAGCATCATAACAACAAGCAAACAGGCCGAATATGAAACACGACAGACACTTAACACCCGAGACGAACGGAGCGAGGAACGCGAAAGCCGTAGAACGACCTCAACTCCCCCGTCATTACTTGTTTTGGGTATTTTGGAACAGGACTCTGCTGTTGTGCACTTCAATGGCAGAGCACATGGCTCAGCTGCAGAACATTCTCGGGGTCTTCGCTGGAATGCACAGTTGGGGGGCATTAGCCTTGACCCCGGGAGTTCAGGATGCGGGTCTCGGGGGCCCCTCCCGCAGGGCCCGGCCCCAGGCCTCTTCAGTGCTTGGCACATACCCCTTCAGATGGAAGGATTTCAAAACCAGTTTCTGATCATCTGCAGAAAATATCATGGCTCTTCACATTGCAGGCTATGTAATTCGTAAGAAGAAATGTTTTCATTACTATTTTTTTTTGAGACAGAGTTTCACTCTTGTTGTCCAAGCTGGAGAGCCATGGTGCAATATTGGCTCACTGCAACCTCCACCTGATGGGTTCAAGTGATTCTCCTGCTTCAGCCTCCTAAGTAACTGGGATTATAGTCACCTGCCACCAAACCTGGCTAATTTTTATATTTTTAGTAGAGACAGGGTTTCACCATATTGCCCAGGCTGGTCTTGACGCCTGACCTCCAGTGATCTTCCCGCCTCGGCTTCCCAAAGTGCTGGGATTACAGGAGTGAGCCGCTGTGCTGGGCCATTTTCTTACCGGTTCTTTGGAGCCCTGGAGTAAGGTGTCTAAAAGGCCAGCTTATAGGGCAGGGGTGGGAACAGGGCTCGGGGTGTGGAGTGTGGCTTTGGGGCCTGATAGGTGCTCACTCCAGCTTCTTCTCTGCCTGGTGGCACTGCAGTCACTGACCTGAAGCCTCCATCCACCTGCCAGTAAATGGGATTCAGGTGCCACCTGAAGGAGGGCCTAGGGTTTTGTTTGTGATACTAATATGTATTACTTACAAAGGGCTGTGCTGTCCCAGGCATCATTCTAAGCACTTGATGTGGAGGAACTTCTCTGCACAGCAGCTTTTAGGAGTGGTGTTGCTGCCTCTCTCTTACATGTAAACAGGTTCACAGAATTTAAGTAACTTGCTCAAAGTTGCCCAGCCTGGGGATGGGTCCATCCGGCAGATTGAAGTTGGATGGATGGTAATCTTCTGTGTTAGGAAGGCAGGATTCCTGAGTGGTAATGGGGTGAGGGCACGATGGGTGTGTCATCACCCAGAGAAGAGAAGTGTGGGAGCCCCAAGAATTCGGAATGTGACCTCGAGCCAGGAGGCTTCCTCTTCTTCGGGTAACTCCAGCCTCTCTCGGCCACAGATAAAACAGACCATCTTGGTCAGAATTGGAGTGAGCCCTCTGTTACTTTGCAAAAGCAAGAATGGGCTGGGTGTGGTGGCTCATGCCTGCATTCCCAGCACTATAGGAGGCTGGGGTGGTGGATCACCTGAGGTCAGAAGTTCGAGACCAGCCTGGCCAACATAATGAAATGCTGCCTCCACTAAACATACAAAACAGTAGCAGGGCGTGGTGGTGGGCGCCTGTAATCCCAGCTACTTGGGAGGCTGAGGCAGGAGAATCGCTTGAACCCTGGAGGCAGATTGCACCACTGCACTCCATCCTGGGTGACAAGTGAAACTATATCTCAAAAAAAAAAAAAAAAAGAACAAGAATGACTGTTGAATTTTTCAAATGCTCTTCCTGCACCTGCCCTGGTCACCAGACTCATCCAATTTCAGAGCGACCGTTGGGTGTAACTCATGTGTGATCAGTGTGGTGAGGTACACCGAACGGTCGCTCTGAAGTCAATGACTCTGTGTTTCTGGGGTGGACCCAGGGCGGCCATGATCCTTGTTGTATTTTGCTAGATTGAGTTTGTGTTTGCTGTGGGATTTTGACAGGGGTCTTAGTGGGTGATTCTGTTCTGCACTGTTTCCTTCTGCTGTCTCTGCTGGATTTTGGTATCAAAATCATAACATGAATATTATGCAGAACTTGCCAGTGAAGCTGTTTGGGCCTGGAGGTTTTTTGGGGGAGTATTTTAAAATTATAGCTCCATTTCTTTAATAGCTGTGGGACTTTTGAGCTTTCCTTTCTTCTAGATTGGTTTTGCTAAATTGTTTTTCCATATTAGCATAAAGTTGTTCACATATTCGTTTGTTGTCTTTGTATGTAGCATTTGTGGGATGCCCCCACACCCTTTTTTTTGTGGGGACAGGATCTCGCTGTCGCCCAAGCTGAAGTGCAGTGGCATAATCATGGCTCACCACAGCCTCACCCTTCTGGGATCAAAGAGGCCTGCCACCTCAGACACACCACCAGGCCTGGCTAACAAAAAATTTTTTTTTGTAGGCCTAGTGTGGTGGCTCACGCTTGTAATCGCAGTGTTTTTAGGAAGCTGAGGCGGGAAGATTGCTGGAGTTTAGGAGTTTTAAGACCAGCCTGGGCAACACAGTGAGATCTGATCTATACCACATATATATTTGTAGCATATATGTGGTATATATACTGTAGAGTCAGGTAGAACCAGCTGTGTGGCTAGGCTGGTCTTGAACCCCTGGCCTCAAGCAGTGCTTCCTCCTTGGCCTCTCAAAGATGCCAGGTGTGAGGCGCTCTGCCTGGGCATTATCTGCTGCTTGCATTATCATTTCCTCCTTGACCCATGGGTTATGCAGAAGTGTATTTCATAATTTCCAAACGTGGTGGTTTTCCAGCTATTTTAAAAATTATTGACTTTGTGTTTATTGCATTACACCCAGGAAACTTGGTCCTCATCAGATCAGGTTATTCAAACTCAATCAGTGGGCAGCTTGTGATCAGCTCTCACCACGGTAGAGTGCTTGAGAAGAATGTGCTCTCCACAGTTGGTGGAATCGGCGTTTGTACAGATCCGTGAGAAAAAGTGTGTACATTGTGTGTTCACTCTACATCCTGCCGAACTGCCAGTCCCCAAGGGAGGCGCTAGAAATCCCGGACCTCGGACTGATGTGTTCGTCCTGCAGCTCTGGAGGTGCTGAAGGCGTGTTCTCAGGGGCGGGCCATGTGAGGTTTGGCGCGGGGTTCCGGTGAGTGGAGTCTCTCGCCTCGCTGGACTCACTCTGTCCCCAGCGTTGCCCGTTGCCTTGGCGTCTGCTTTGTGATCACACAGAGACACTCACTCTCTTTTGTTTCGTGTCTGTCAGATGTGGTGTTTGTGCTCCTGTTGCTTTCAGCCTTTCTGTTCTAGGTGATTTCGGTGTGTTTCTCCGGGACGCCCCCAGACGGTTTTTCATGCCACTTGTTTGCGTCTTTGATGAGAGTGTTTGGCGGTGTGCGTGAGCTGTGGCCAGGTTTCGGGTTTCTTTACTTCACCCTGCTCTTTGTCCCTCACTTCGCGTCGGCTTTTTCCACTAGGTTTTGCTCTTCTTCTGGTTTATGTTGTCACTTAGCTTTTTGCCGTTTACTAACTGTTGGTGGTCATCCTAGCACTGTGGTGGGCATGTCTAGCCCTCTGGGTTTGAGGTTAATCAGTCAGTCCCCGAAAGTGTGTGATGGTGATTTCTCTGTGTCTGCTGGGCTACGTCTGGTTCCTCTTGTTTGCTCAAACTCCATTCTGGATGTTTCTGTGGAAGTATTTTTTATATGTGATTAACATTTAAATCAGTAGATGTTCAGTACAGAAGCTCTCCTGCCACAGGGTGGGTGGGCCTTACCCAATCAGTCGAAGGTCTTTGCCATGGCTTGAGTGGGCCTTACCCAATCAGTCGAAGGCCTTTGCCATGGCATGGGTGGG